TTACCTGCAGGGAGCTGCTCTCCATGCTGCCCACATATTTTCCTGACCACATGCATGTGTGAAGCTATGCACATGCACACAAACCCTGTGTCCCACTCCTGGCAGCCCCAAGCACGACCCCTTCAGGCTAGAATGCTGCCCACCTGCAAGGGGAAACCCACTGTTTCCCAAGGGAACCCATTTATTAATCTGCTTATGATTTTAACCCTTGTTAAAGAATACAGTAGTTTGTTTCAGAGCGTATGGTATTTCCCACTCAAAATATTGAGCAGACTGGAGTTTGTTCTTCTTTATAAAGGTTATATGCTCATTTGATCCCAAATTTCTCTAGTTTTGAAGCATCTGCTAAAAACACAAAACAAACAGCATCTTTTTTTTTTTCTTTTTTGCTAACAATAATGACTGGAAAACAACCTGTCAAACTTCTGGCAGCAGACTAAAGCTGCATGATTGTGTAACTTGTGCCATTTATGTTGAACGTGTTGAGATTTTTTGCCCTACTTGAGCATTTGTTATACATCTAATGGTCAAAAGGAAAAAGCTTTGCTGTTTTGCACCTGATGCTTCTTTTCACTTGCATCTGGGGGCAGTTCAGTTGCACTGTTTATTGGAGTTTCTGGCATGAAAGTCTGCATTCAGTATTATATTTGGAAACATCTCAGGGTTCTGTTGATTGTGGAATACCAACCCTGGCCTCCCAAACTACACCCCAGCTGCTTTATGTATAGGGGTGGAATTTGTAGCATTCAACTTAATACCTGTGTCTGTCGACTTCATGTTCAGGACATAAATTTACAGCCTCTTCAAGATTACAGGTGGAGAAATAGCTTTACGTTGTACAAAAATAAGTTCCCCCTGTGTTTTGCAAGTGCGTTGTTTTTGTCTTTCCTTGGGCTTCTTGGAACTTGGCCTGGCTAATCTTGCAAGCAACAAGCTGGAATTCTTAATTAAGTTTGAAGATACTTGCAAACAACTGAATATGGGAGTTTTTTCCATGCAATAACTGTTCCCTTGGCTTTACCATCTAAGCTAAAAAATATCTACAGTTACAAGAAATCCCTAAATACTTCAAACATTATTAGTAAGGACTGTGTTCTGTTGTCAAACTATGGTGTTTGTCTGCTTGGAACAGATTAAGATGCCATAGAGAAATGTGATCACTGCCTCTGCAGGTTTGGCCATGTTTGTTTTCTTGCAGTTTATCTAGTCTTTTGAGAAATAATTAATTAAGCCCATTTTTGGCTCAGGTGCTTCTTGTAGTGTTTCAGTAACACAGATGCCCTGTTTCTCTTGTGAGCTGTATGGGGTAGGGGTGGAATTGTGAATGTTCATTACAGGCTATGCTAAATCTCTGTTTCTAATCTTTTGTTGTTTGACTATGGTTGGTGGGCTGTTATATCAAAATCTTACTGGTTTTAAGAGAAGAGTTGGGTTTTTTTTAAATGTTAAAATCTGTGGTTTTGAAGTTTGCTAACTTTGTGTGCTGTTCCCCAAAGCTAAGATGTTATATTAATAAACATCAGTACTTTGCCCAGTAATGATGGTATTGTCCTAAAGAGAGGACTGCTGGCCATTTGTCCTTCAACAAAGAAGAATTTAGAAAAAGGTTTCAGGGCTGTAGCAGGGTGGGGAATAACATTAAAGTAGAATGAATGTCACAGATATTGAGGTACCATAGCAAAGGAGCCAAACTGGAATGCTTAACCAATGGCAGGAACAGACTAAGCAAATAAGGATAATGTTGTATATTTGCAGTTAATGACATTCCAGTAGTCCATCATTTAAAAATGTTTTTATCAGGAGGATTCATGCTGAACAGCTTGAAAGGAAGGATGCATCTTGCTAGCTGTATTTTTGCTGTATAAATATTTTGTCTATCCTTAAAAAAAATAAAATTCTCTTTCTTTCAGTAAATGACACAAAGAGGAAACAGAAGGTCCTTGGTCCCAATCAGAAACTTAAATTTAATCCAACGGAATTAATTATTTATTGCAAAGATTTCCGTATTGTCAGATTTCGCTTCGATGAAGCAGGACCTGAAAGTGCAAAAAAGGTATTAAAACCTTCAGTTCTTTATTGTGGTTGTGCAGTGGCAGATGTAGTACTATGGGACTTCTTGTTGATTTCTAGCGTCAGGATAGAAATTTTAAAATAATATAGATTGCTAGTTAAACCAATGACTCGATCTTTCTAAAACCTGCTTATGCATGTACTGTAAGTATTTTACATTCCTTTTTTCAGTTGTTTGGGTGAAACATGAACAACTTTTACAAATAAGGTGAACCTACTTCAGATTACATAGTTCAGAAGGTAATATGGTCTGTTCACATCTATATCAGAAATGCAAATTTAGGTTGTACTAGTCTTTCTTTTAAAAAGGCAAAATTGAAGTCCTAAAAGGTACAGTGTAAGTAATATTGTAATTTCTACATTATACAACCATGTGTTTAGGAAAGCCTTTCATGGGGGCTTTCTTCTCACTTCATAGATGCTTGGGTCAGAAGGGACCTCAACAGATCATCGAGTCCGACCCCCCGCCTAGGCAGGAAAGAGTGTTGGGGTCAGATGACCCCAGCCAGATGCCTATCCAGCCTTCTCTTAAAGACCCCCAAGGTAGGGGAGAGCACCACCTCCCTTGGAAGCCCATTCCAAATTCTGGCCGCTCTCACCATTAAGTTTTTCCTGATATCTAGCCTAAATCTGCTCTCTGTCAGTTTGTGACCATTGTTCCTTGTTACCCTAAGAGGTGCCCTGGTGAACAGAGCATCTCCGATCCCTTGCTGCATCCCCTTAATGAATTTGTAGGTGAGCACAAGATCACCTCTCAGCCTTCTCTTGTGGAGGCTGAAGAGATCCAAGTCCCTCAGTCTCTCCTCATAGGGCTTGGCCTGCAAACCCTTAACCATACAAGTGGCCCTCCTCTGGACCCCCTCGAGGTTATATTTTCATAGTTGGTAGGGTCAGAAGGGACCTGAGCAAATCATCAAATCTGACCCCCTGCCATGGCAGGAAAGAGTACTGGGGTCAAATGACCCCAGCAAGGTGATTGTCTAGCCTTGTCTTAAAGACCCCCAGGGTAGGAGACAGCACCACTTCGCTTGGAAATTGGTTCCAGATCCTAGCCACCCTAACAGTGAAGAAGCACCTCCTGATGTCTAGTCTGAATCTACTCTCTGCCAGCTTGTGACTGTTATTTCTAGTCACTCCTGGTAGTGCTTGGGGGAACAGGGACTCCCCCAATGCCTGCTGGTCCCCTCTGACTAGTTTGTAGCAGGCCACATCCTTCTTAAAGTACAGCGCCCAAAACTAGATGCAGTACTCCAACTGCAGTCTGACCAATGCCGCATAGAAGGGAAGTATCACCTCCCTGGTTCTATTTGTCATGCATCTGCTAATGCATGATGAAGTGCGGTTAGCTTTGCTGATGATTTCATCATGCTCACGGCTCATGTTTATCTTGGAGTCCACTATGATGCTGAGATCTCTTTCTGCTTCTGTTCTGCTGAGAGGGTCATTTCCCAGCCAGTAGGTGTGCTGGATATTTTTGCACCCTAGGTGCAGCACTCTGCACTTGTCCTTGTACTGCATCCTATTGTGTAATGTCCACTACTTTAACCAGTCCAGGTCTGCCTGCAATCATTCCTTACCTTCCGGAGTGTGCAGTTTACCCCACAATTTAGTATCATCCGCAAACGTGGACAGAGTACTCTTCACACCCACATCCAAGTCACTGATGAAGATTTTGAAGAGTACGAGTCCAAGGACCGAACCCTGCAGGAACCCACTGCCCACATCCTTCTGGGTCGATACCGACCCGTCTACTACCACTCTCTGGGTGCGACCCCCAAGCCAATTTGCCACCCACTGGACCGTGTAAACATCTATGTCATAACCTCTTTATTTATGAGAATGGGATGAGATACTGTATTGAAGGCCATGCTAAAATCCAAGATAACGACATCCACCTCTACTCCTGCTTCTAAGCATTTTGTGACCCTCTCATAAAGTGAAAACAGATTGGTCAGGCATGATCTACCTGCTAGAAATCCATGCTGGTTTCCCTGCTGCATTATTTTTCCTGCTGGACTCCCACAAAAATGATCCTTCATAATCTTTTCAAAGACCTTTCCAGGAATGGAGGTGAGACTGACTGGCCTATAATCACTCGGATCCTCCTTCCTTCCCTTCTTGAAAATAGGGACCACACTGGCCCTTTTCCAGTCCTCGGAGACCTGACCTGAGCACCATGAGCACTCAAACAGCCATGCTAGTGGTTCTCCTGTGACACAGGACAATTCCTTCGGTACTCTCGGATGCAGCTCATCTGGGTCTGCTGACCTGAACACATCCAGTCCATTCAAATGACTTTGCACTAAGTCAGTGTCGACAGTTGGTGGGCTGGTGTCCCTCTGATGCCCGTCTGAGAACCCATTAAGAGACTTACCTTGAGCTGTGTTCAGGAATACCGAGGCAAAAAACTCATTGAAGAGCTCAGCCTTGTCCCCCCTCTCTGTCACTAATTGCTCTTTCTTGTTCAGTAGGAGTCCTATGCTGCCCTGTGCCTTTCTTTTATTCCCTACATATCTAAAAAAAACCTTTTTGTTGTCTTAATTTGTGTTGCCAGCCTCAGCTCTGTAGTTCCTTTGGCTTTTCTAACTGCCTCCCTGCAAGTGTTGGCCAAGTAGGTATACTTCTCCTTGGGAGCTTCCCACTGCTTCCACCGCCTGTATGCCTTCTCTTTTGCCCTTAGGCTCCCATAGATTTCCCTGTTTAGCCAAGGAAGTTTTTTGGCTCCTTTCCCCCTTTTCCCTCGTCCTGGGATTGTCTCCCTCTGCACCTGTAGGATCGCTTCCTTTAGAAACAACCACCCTTCCTGGACTCCCAACTTGCCAATACTCTTATCCCGCAGTGCATCATTGACTAGACTCCTAAGCACACTGAAGTTAGCCTTCCTAAAGTCAAGCACATCCACCTTACTAGTTATTTTACCCACCTTACGCCGTGTGGTGAATTTGATTAATTAGTGGTGACTGTCCCCAAGGTGACCATGAATCTGCAGCTTCCCACCCAGGTCCTCCTCTGCAGCCAACACCAGGTCCAGTAAGGCATTCCCCCTAGTGGGACTATATACCTCTTGCGTTAGGTGAAGGTCCTGCATGCAGGTTAAGAACCTACGTGAGCAGTTGGATTTGGCTGACTGCTCCTCCCAGCAGATGTCAGGGTAATTTAGTTCCCCCATGACAACCACGTCCCTTCCTGGGTTTTGGTT